AATAGGATGATAATCTCTCGTCTTGAACGAAAAGATGCTACTTACAGTGTCCAGGTTCGCACTTCTTGCCTTGCATGTACTTATGATTGTGTTTTCTATACCTTACAAGGTTTGCTATGGCGAAGCTGTTTATTAAGTCCGACGTTTCGACCAAATAGTCCCTATCAAGGACCTGAAATGGTGCGAAGATCTCTTATTAGTAATCTAGACGGCCAGGAGCTTTACCGCTTTTTACTTGGGTTGCAACAAGTCTCATGAGCTTGAACCGAAATAGCAACTCCAATAAACCGATCAGCCGTGGTAGGTTGATCGATTCACTGGAGTTGCTACTCCGGTTCAAGCCACTGAGACTGGTCGCAACTGGCCAAGCATGGTAAGGCTCCTGGCCGTCTAGATTACTACTAAGAGCTCTTCGAACCATTTCAGGTCGTTGATAGCGATGGTTTGGTCGAAACGTCAGACTTAATAAACGGCCTCACCACATTCAATTGTGGTCGCCTGCTCACTTTCACAATTGCTCAAGAACAGACTGGCGCTGCGCTAAACCCAGACCCCTACACACCGTAGCATCAGCGGCGAAGAAGACTGCAGTCACTTCTCTCGGATCATGTGTACATAGAAGAGGTCTAATTAGCATCCTTTTGTCCCTAACTGAAGCAGATAAACGAGAAATATATTGCTCTAATAACCAACAACTGTATGATGAAAACTCGGACGAAATGGACGGCGGGCTTCTCACCATTACTGACGAGACTTGTATATGCACAATAACAACGGCTCTGTTCACTGGTACAAAAAGTGCTATGGAAATGAAATATCACCTACGAATTAGCCCATTAATTACACAAAAAAACAAAGTAAGCGTAACAATGAAGGAAATACATCTTAAAAAAACAACGAAAGTGCGTAGTTACCCAATATTTTCTCTTAGATTTTATATCGAAAAGAAATTTACTGAACATAAGAAGCTTGCTAACAAAGGGACAGAGAATAAGCAAGGAACAGATGAATTACATGTCTAAGCTTGGGGGTCCTCCATGTCGTCAAACCCATTTTCAAAACGATTTGCTTGTTGTAGAGGCTCATGCAAAGGCCGGAAAGTTGTGGACACTCTTCGCTGCCCGTTCCTGGAACGGCAAAAAAAGGTGGAAAATAGGCTGATGGTTCGATTGCCCAAGAAAAAGTCGGAATTTTTTGTCGGAACAAGAACGTGTTCAAAATACCCGAATCCAGTGGAACATTCTAACGCCAAAATCGTCGTAAACTCATGGGAATTTTTTTCACCCTCTCTAAGACTTCACAGGAGAGCGCAGCGAAAATCAACCACACTTTGTGGTCCCTGCATAAACCTTTACAACGCGCAAGAAACCGTTTCCGAAATGAGCTCCACGACCTGGAAAAAATCCCTTGTTAGAACAAAGCGAGGAGGAACACGTGCATGATTGTGCACGAACGGTTCAGTTTTAAACAAACATCACTTGCCGTAGAAACGTCTTCTGGGAAATGCAGTGTCCCAAAGCATTCGCACTTGATGAGCAGAAACTCACTTAATATATTCTTACTTCAGAACGTGGAACGAAATGTAAAAATACAAGCCTGCAGTGGATGAACTTAGAAATGAACTTTGCTATAACACTGAATTCGCTGTAACTTGTCACTGAGAACTCCTTCCTTATCCCAAACAGCGCACTGCTAACGCAGAATAATGTCCCGCTCCTCCGGTACGACCCTTCCCCCTCCCCTATACGACCTTGCTGAGGATACCCAACGTACGAGGTGCCCTGCTCCCAAATATGCACTTTACTCATTACGTTGGGGCACATATCACGATCACACGAATGAAGCTGTTCCCTCACAAGACTGCTCCACAGAGAAAGACTCTGATCACTTTGCGGGTTAAAGCTGTGGAACAAGGAGGGGATGTTGCCCAAAGTACACCAGTAGATGATTTTTACGTGACTGGCGCTGGATTGGGTTTGTCCCCTCGTCGCTGTTCGACAAAAAACTCAAAATCAGCTGCAAAGAGGTGATCTAGTTGTGACAGCTGACAGCTTTTGAAGCTGTTTTTTTATGATAACTGCTGTTTAACGCCGCATTCGCGTTCCGAATGTTATCAAGAATGCTGAGTTGTGGGCAAAAGTCGTGCCCCAGGCGGGAGTCGAACCCGCACCTCACGCTTTCCGGGCGAGTGCGCTATCCGTTACGCCACCAGGGGCTTTTACCCTCTCAGCTTAACGGCTTCATTGCCGATATCTAACGAGCACAGTGTCTAATTTTGTTCGAAGAACCCGATTTGGTTGAAAAGTATTCGATTTAAAAATGGAGATGTCTCAAAGTAAACTTTAATAACCAGCTACCTACCTACAATATCCAACTATGTTGGTCATGAACTGTTGAATAGTCTGCGTTTTCGCGGCGTCCCCTGCAGCTCGAGCTCCTTGGAGCTCTGTAACGGCAGCAAGGAAACGCTCCCCAAGCTTATTTGCTAGTTCACTGATGTAGACAGACTAAAACTCTTTTTAGAAATAATGTCGGGCAGAAGAGTTATGCATACAGGGGGGCCAAAAAAAAGTCATTTTGCCTCCATGACTTTCAAGGCGCTATAAGTTACACTTTATTAAATTTTTATCGGACATTTTTACTACCATATTAAAGAGCACATTAAATACTATAATGATACTCCGCCACAGCCTTCTGGAGGAGCGCCATCGAGAGATTCGGCCGCGCGAAAGTGAGTGGGTACCGGAGTTGAGCGAGAGATCGTTGATTTCTCCGCCACTGTAGACCACCCTGTTGAGCTCCGCCCGAACTAGGTAATTGAGTGGGTTCAGGTCAGGGGACATATTTCAATATTACATCTTCATCAGGTACGAAACGCCCTTCCATTCGAAGTAGGCGGGAGTTTTTCCAAAACCCTTTGATTCCATGTGGTGGCACCCAAACCTGTAGCAGCACAAGGTCTCCAAGAAGGTACGGGCGACCACATGTAGGGAGGATATTCTTCTCGAGTTACTTGATGTAACCGCCAGCGCTCACCTTCAGTCGGGGTCTACAAAGAAAATATCGGTCTTCCCTTTCCAGGTACCCCGGTCCATACCATCAACTCGCGCCTTGGCGAATGGGGTGAAGATGATGTCCTAGACCGTAGCGACGTTGCCGTAGCTGCTCGATGTGGGAGGTCTTGCAGATCAAGAGTACTGACCTCCAGGTAGCTATCTGTGGATGACTTCATTCAAGAAGTTTCGCAGCTGTTTGGAGGCGACGTGAATTCCAAAGGTGTTCTCCAGTCAGGCCGCGACTGGAGATGACTTCATATTTTGGCGTACATGAAGGCGATTGGCGGCAGCCTGCTCCAGCTTATAGGAAGATCTTGGGTATCTTCCACTCTGGTACTCATATCCACTTCCCCTGTCTGGGCTGCGAAAACTTCGTTGATATGTGGCTCGGCCGAAATGACTTTTTTTTTTGCCCCCCCCCCCCCCCTGTATTTATTTACCTTCTGTTCCACTCCGAGTTCACCAAAAACTATAAGTGTGCCCGTCGCTTCGAAAATAAAAGCTTGATCGTCAGCGGTGAGCAGTTGGTCAGAATGCGGCGACATTGCTAGCAATGGAGCCAACGGGTGATTACCTGAAATTCGGTACGCTGATGGTTTCAGGAGCATGTATGAACCGTCACTTTTGACGGAGATCACGATCTTCTTACAGGATGGGTACTCCACAACTCCTTCACAAAAAATGAACCAAAACAGAAACAAGCGTGAAAATGACCTTTTCTGCGACATTTTCAAATCATCAAGTAACTAAAAATATAAACAAAAACATTCAAACTTCACCTCGGATACCAGCGGACTGAGCACGGTCTTATGTGCCTTCACAAATCGACAGAATAGGTAAACAATGCGAGTTCGTACACGAGCAACTCGAAATGCTATTCCTCTGAAAGAAAAGAAAGGAAATCAGAAATTCGGGTAGATAGGAAAAGCAGGAGGCAACATTCTGAAAAAAAACCTTTCGTCCAAAAATGCTGCTGCGACCTGCGGTATTACTGGTTGAGGGCGTGCCATAAGCAGACGTTCATATCGGCAAGCGATCTGAAAGCGTTTTAGATTACTTGGCTTTCTGCACAGCAGCATCGTCGGGACAATCCCATCGTAAGGGTCGCACTTGGTTGCTTAGTGCGAGGTCATAATTGCTTTTAAGAACGCTTTCCCAAGCCGCTAGAAATTCCTTTTCACTCGAAATATGCCCTCCCCCCTAGCTGCAATTGCAGGAGACCACGATACACTACTGACAGTTGACCGGTAACAAGCCTCTGCGCACGAGAATGGTTTTTCTTTTCTTGAGAAAAACGGCAAAAAAATTTGAGAAATAGGAAAGCTTGGGAGGATGATGTGCAGGATAGGAAGGGGAGAGGGAAGTTTCGCGCCTGTAGTGGAAATCGGAGAGGAGAGGACTGACTGACACTGCTGTTGTGCTCATCCCAATGTTGTACCTGCTCTCAAAGTCGTTTTGAAGCAAAGCAGTTAAGAACAGTTATTTCTGACCTCGTAATCATACTTGAGGCTTAGGTTACGAACACGAGACCTACCTCAAAGTATAAGACATGAACTGTAGCTGATCGGCCATCTAGTTGCATAGAGTTGAGCAAATTGACTGGTAACAATGCACCACGTCCCATCCATCCTTCTTTCATATTGACGAAATTCGCCTATAATGTATCAGGCCTAGACAAGGTACGGCTGGAGAACCACTTCAATGCGAGAAATAGGCGCGGTTTGGCTTCGTAGAGCCACCGATTGGAACTCAGCGAAGGTTGTACAAGCCTCCTTGTGGAAATCTGTACTTCCTTGTCACCAGATGAGCTCAACTGTGAAATTTCTCGGCTTCACACAAGTGAACAGGTTAGCGTACCTGTTAGCAAGCATGAACTCGCAAAAGGTAGTAATGAGAAGTACAAAATGTCCCTCCCAGGCCGAACAGCGCCAAGGAGACCTTTTATTAGCCGAATTACCGGAATAATCTCCACCAGACCATGAACCAACTGGACAATAGCTTCCAATCGTGCAATAGGCATTGCCGTGCCACCGCCACTGGCCGCAACTTCATCAACCAGAACTTCTAGTGGGGCCACTATCAGGTCGCAACGCTGAAATTCAGCAATACAACCCGGTTTCGACATTTCCAAGTGGATTTCCACTCACCATGTTCCCGATCGTATTAAGAATTCCGCGCAGTTCCTTCCTGTACTCGGCGAATTCGATTTCATCTTCACCCGATCCATCCACGTCCAGTTCTTCGCTAATTACAAACCGTCGTAAGCAAACGGACACGATCTTCGTCACATACTGGTTTGTTTTTAAGTCACAGATGAATATGGTTTTGTTTTCCGGGTCGAAAGGCTACGACAATCAGTTACGGAGAGTCTTCTCGTTTTCCCAGGGCTTTAATGCGCTCAAAAGTTACGGTACTAGGGTAAATAAAGCCGAAAAAAAGCGGAGATAAAGTCGTAAGAAGCGTGTTTGATCAGTTATTTACGGGACTTGCTCGTAAACAGAGGAATTATACGATTATTGATTGAGTTGCAAGTTACAGTAACTGTAAAATTTTCAAAGACCACAAATATTGACCTCATCCGTACAGTTATCCTTGAAAAGCGCCACATAGCTACGCAAGGTATAGATGACTAGTTCACTGAGCTCAGGATCTTCATTATCAAGCACCAGTAGCAGCGAATCCATATCTGCTTCCACGATTTTGATACAGCGTTGAGCATCTTCGCCCGCATCCTCAGCTTTGAACCTGAAATCCATCCTAAGGATAAGAAATTAAGCAGAATTGAAAGATTCCTTGGGCAAAACTAGAACTATCGGAGATAAAAACTTTGTCTAAGCTCAAAAGGGAAGAAGCTTTAGGATGGGTGAACCAATTCCAAGTACAGTAGTCCTATTTAGATGATGCTGTAATCCCAGTCGCGCACAAAGTTCGTGCAATATTTCGGCGGGTTGCAAAAGCCGAATTCCACAAGGACTTTTCAAAGGCTATTTTCTTTTGCAATCTATGTTACTGCTTTGCTTCCGTTTTTCCTAGTCTTTATGGCAATCGGGAAGGAGGTGGTGTAGTGAGAAGTGGCGCGGGTCGACTCGCCGCCCGAGGCCAACCAGGCCTTCTACCCCCGGGGACGGTAAATTGGTACCAGATTCGTCTGGGAGGATAAAACACTGACTTGTACATCGGCTGGCCACCGCAAGTCATTGTATAGGCCACATCGCATTCAATAAGCCACTACGATTCTGAATGGAAGTAGAATGCGTGCCGCATCCCACAAAGGGATTGATCAACGGCGAAGACTTATCCTTTATAATGGCATCCAGAATTAGATGATGGGGGGGGGGGGGGCGGGGAGGGGGGGGGGGGAATCCAAATTAGCTCTCTCTGACTGTTCCTCCCCATCATCTAGTTCTGAGCCGGGAGATCTGAGATGCACCGGGATGTCGGGTATTATTTTGCTGGCATAAAAAAGTGCGCAAAACTCGTATGGTGAGACTCTCAGGAAAAGGGTTTCAAATCAGGGCGTTTTTCTGGGCTTTTTCTACCAGTTCCCATTTAGACAATGCCATAGCGCACTTCATATTCACAACGGACCACATTCACTAACACAATTTGCGCAATCGCGGCGACTTGTGCTAATAGCTGCCAGATATGAATTTCAAAACTGAAAGTTAACTCACTAAGCTCAGAAACGCTGGTGGAAGCCCTCTACGTGATGGTCGGTCCCCCGCACTTCGCTTTTAGTGCTGTCACAGTAGCGCTGTAACTATCTCCCGCGTCTAATCACGCGCTCGTCAACTGTCAATAAAGGACCTTGTTCTCGGTCGATGACGCAGGGGACTTCGTATGCCCAAACTGGAAAACTTTGCGAGCTTTTTAGCAAACAGCCGGACATCCATTCCGCAATAACGCAATCGTATTTGGAAAGCTACAGAAGCTGCGAATCTGAAATTGTAGTACTCTGAAGTTCTGAAAAGGAGGAATAGAAAGCGATAAAAGGAATAGGAACAATCATTGCCCTTCTTCGACTGACCCAATGTCTTCCTCCGCGCTTCTCGACCATTCACACAAAAGAAACAATATCCTGGCAATCGTTTACACGCTCCTTTCTCCGCAACACCAAAGCACTTTGGGGTCAAAAAAGGATGTTGTCAAATGATAAGAGAAATCAGACACGTTCGATGCAGGATGTGAAACGAAAAAAGGTTACAGCAAAAAAACAGAAGCGACGATTTGAATCAAGAAAAGAACAATCCCGCATCCCGTATTTATCGATGATAAACCGGGTCATCTCACTTCTCCCCACCAAAGCAGGTCGTATATCCACACTT